CAATCTGGGGACCCCGTTAAACGATTTCTGTTGAATTAACATTGGATAATCCGGCCTTCAATCAGTGGGTGTTAACCCACAAGCAATCAATTATCGGTGAGCTTAAAGTATGTGTCAGTCTTTGTTAATAAAATCTTGATAATTTTATAATTTCTTGTAAGAGAGTGCTTGGTATTTCATTTGATTTTTTCACGTCAAATACAGCAACATTAAATATAAATTGCCGAGATGAAGAATCACTATCATTATAATATTTTGTTCATAACGACGCACAAGTGTTTTGTACGCACCCAAAGTAAAAACATAATAATTTTATATAATAAAGTTTCAAATGTACAAAAAGGTTTATCATATTTTTAAGTTCTGGGTATTCGAAGGTGCATTAAAATAATACTTTGGTATTCGAGGTACAATAATACTTGCGGTTTTGAGACAATTAAGTATTCCGTCATGGTGTATAATCTGGCATTGTATCGGTCCTGTACAATGTTGAAAGTGAAAGAGTCCACTGTATATTTTTAATTACATACACTTCTTCAATGATGGACAACAAAGATGACAATTGGACCTCTTATTATATAATCCAACTCTGGCTTAATGAGATGCATGGATCAAAAATCAAGATGCCAAAAGGTGTCAATTTAAATTCTGTATCCAAATACCTTTAAATTAGTATGTGACTTAGAAATATGCTTGGAATATTTAAATTTGAATGTACCATAATATTACTTTTAAGAAAGAAGATATTGAAAATTTTGGAAACAAATTGAACTCCATAGCAACCATTTGGCCAGAGCTGATCACATATATAGTTATAATAGACCCACTGTGTTATAAGATTATCAGTTATTTTTCTGTTGTATGATTTTTATTATGAAAATAAACCAATTTAGTTTGACCATTTTTTAGTTTTCTGCAAACACACAAAATGAAACAATAAAAGTAAACAAAAGATGGCATATACACATAGAAATTCTTTGTAGTGAGTGTATGTAACAGTATGGCCAATTATTACTTTCTTAATTATTTGTTTTGTAAGGTTAAATTATTCCTGGAAGTATTCAGCCAGGATATTTCTAATGTTAGTGCAGTCTGCATTAATTGCCTCTTCGTTACTTTGATTTGGCTGAGGCATTTAGTTTTCTCCCTTTGCTACATCCTCTAGCCATTCAACCCTAAATGGGTCTTTTGCTTGTTCGCATATGTTATGAAGTATGCAACAGGTCATAATAATATTGGGGACCTTGTCAACATTCATATCCAATCGCTTTAATAAGCAGCGCCAGCGACCTTTTAGGCGACCAAAGGAATTTTCTACCGTCATGCGTGAACTACTTAGCTTATAATTAAATGTCTTTTGTTTTTGGGTCAGGTGTCCATTGTCTGTGTATGGTTCCATTAGAAAGTTGGATAATGGATAAGCCGGATCACCTAACAAGACGATAGGCAGGCGCACATTATTGACATCAATCATCTTGCCGGCAAATAATGTCCCAGACAGCCCTTTTGCATATATTTTGGAGTTTGCATAGACTCGTGCATCATGAACACTTCCTGGCCACCCGATATTTAGGTCTGTGAATTCATAACGATCATTCACAACTGCTTGAACAATGATGGAATACCACCCTTTTCTGTTATGGAAGTCAGCATGGTTCATGCTCGGTCCTAATATAGGAATATGACTGCCATATATTGCTCCACCTGCATTTGGAAATCCCCATTTCGACCGATACCCATTTACAACTCTATTCAGTTCTTCACCTGATGGAAATTTAATGAATTTGTCCTTGATCGAAATCAGGGACTCACAAAATATGTGTATAATTGAAGACACGGTTGACCGGCCAACCCCAAATAATGCAGCCACAGTTCTGTACTCAGCATTGGTCCCTAAAACCCATAAACTTATGCCAACCTAAAAAAAAAGGGTTACCATACTTTAAATGGGAGGGGTAGAAGATTGTTCTCAATATTTCCAATCATTTTAGTTCAGTGATAAAATCTATTATTCAGTCTAGTATTAAATTGACAAAACTAGATTTGTTTTTTACTAAGGCCATCTACATGTACAAACAAATATCTACTTCCAATCCAAATCAGTAGGCGGCCAACATAGAAAATAATAGTATGTGTTGCATGTTCTTATATTCTCCAAGCAGAAGTGAATATCTCAACCAATACAGCCATCATAAAATGCAAAATAGCCTACCTGTCGCTCAACAGATATTGGTTCCCTCATACTTGTTACTTGTTTCTCAAGAAATGGTCTCAAAATTCTGCACAGATATTCAAATGTACATTTTGACATTCTGAAGTTTTCCAAATACTGTATATCATCATAAAAGCTGAAAATAAAATGTAAAGGAATTAGATTAGGTAAATAATTAAACTTAAAGTAGTCAATATCATCCAAAATCTGCGACATTGAAAACACAAAGTATTTGTCAATTTCAATCAACATTGATCTTGTGATCTTAACGGGGAAAAGATGGGTTTCTGATATCCAATATTTGAGACAAAACAAACATTTAACCATTGGTACACGAATTGTGTAATGCATTTCAGTGTCATTTGTAACAAGGGACTAGAAGAACGAGGCTAGACATATTCCCACAAGTCATATTCTTATCTGGAGAGCATGCACAATAAATACTATCAGTGTAGACTGGAATAACCAGTTGCTAGACATTGCCATTCGATTTAGACATCTAGAGTATTTCGACGAATATAACTAATTAGAAATTATGTGTTGCGACCCATTTGTGTCAATTTCTAGATCCCAAATATTAACAATTTAGCTCTTTTAAGCATGCAACTATTATTATTCGAAATTAAAAATTGTCTATATGGCACATATAATAGCACAGGCCTATTTGTGTGAAGATTGTTTTGTTTTTTTAGGTTGTTTTTTTTTGGGGGGGGGGGGGGGGACGTTATATTTTCTATAAATATTTAATTGATGACCCCTTGGTTAATATTTGTTTTATACACCTTGTCCGTGTACATATTTGACTACATTATAATGATTATAAATTTTAAAACAATATATATGAATATATCAAACCAAACCTGTATGCGTGATTCCACCAATTGCCACTGTGATACCGTGACCATATTCTCCTGTTGGTTGGCATGAATATCACAGAAGTGACACTCATTAGCATCAGAAAGAAGTACCTTTGTTGACTCTGTCGTTGTCTAAACTGTTTAATTCTATGTCTCAAAGCATTAGTATTCATTTCTAGGAAATGTGTATAAACTATCCGAGAGTAAGAGAAACAAATTTCGCGGATTTTTTTTTCACAGGATGTTTACATATTCTACCAGGAAATGGTATGTACGCATGCATAGTTAACTCTAACCTCCGACCGAAGAGGTCAGAATAGTTAAACAGGTTTGACTTATAGTACGTGTGAACGCAACACGACGCTGTCTTGAAAACCCCGGCGATTTTGAACTGGTTTAAAAATAAGCGTCTGAACGGGGTATTAGTCACGTACATGCGTGAACCGAATCCACGCCAATTGACTCTATGATAGACGTTACTCACTGAGCCACCGCGACTCCCTTGATATTATAATACTTGATATAATATCAAGGTTAATTTACGTCCGCTTCCATTGAGATGATACGGTAATCGAGTAGTTTCCTAGTAAGATTGGGCGTCTAAACTTTTCATATATCATGTCATACTGTTACTGGAAATAACCACCTGATAAATACATTTGTGACAATGTATCTTTAATATCCTTGTGGTTGAAGCGGATATTTAGTTGAGAGATTAATTCTCCAAATATTGCTTGGGGTTGCGTGAACGAATGGTTAATGCGAGCGCGTTAGATCATAAGGTCTGTCATTGAGTCAAATGGCATGGTTTCGATTCCCCGCTTGTACGTGACAAGACGTAGTGTCCAACCTCATAAGTTTTCCCCGGGTTTTGCGGTTTCCTCCCACTTCTAAAGATCCTTAAGCGAATCCTTTACATAAAATTAAACCATGTTAGTCCCGAAATCTCCCTCTCTCTCTCTCTCTCTCATAGGTGTACCAGCCAGGAAAACGGGTTTGCGGCAGTTAAAGTTTCAAAATTTTCTCCCGACTTTCCCGTCTCCGTGGACTCTGAATGATTGGTTGGTATTCGAGTCATCTGCCTAAGTAAGGGTACATTAGATCACTTTGAAGTTGCTGCATTCATGGGCTGGAACAGCAAGAAAACGCATTTGCGGGAATGGCCTCCTTCGCCGCTCACAGACGACCGGAACTACTTTCTGTAAACCGAAATGTTTTCGGGCATTTCAGATTCTGCCCTTCTAACATTCATCGACCCCCCACGCCTCTCGCTGACAGGGATCCCGGACAAGTGGGATGTGACCCTGGGCGTTCTAGTTGAGTTTTTTTTAACACTGTCGACATATGATATTTCTCTAATCCATCAATTAATTAGCCTGCACGTGTACAGGTCTTTAGCACGACGGTGGCCAGTAATAAGCCGGGATCGAACCCACACCACTTGATTCAATTAAAGCGGACGTTAACCTAATCGTCCCCCTATTGACTCATCCTGGGTTGGCACTGGTGTAGGCCTTCAGACCTGGCAAGAAAAAAGGTGTAGTCATTCGGATGGTACAGAAAACTGAGGTCCCGTGCAGAACCCTTGACATAAAAGTAGGCCGTAGCGTCGTTGACTGGTTAAATTTCCCCTCATAGCGCCTTGTGTGTGGCGTATGTCCGTCTTTGTTAACCCAATCGGGGCAGAAGAGAAGGGCGGGTATTATAGACTTGATGATACTTGATATATTTGATACTTTAAAAAATGGGAGCCGCTGTGGCTCAGTTATTCGTTGACTAGGGGCAAGTGGTCCAATCCCGTTGTTGATTTCGAAAGTTCTCCGTGATTTTCCGGTGAACACTTTGACGTACATTTGACAGTTGGAATTCGATATAAGAGGAGGGCGTAGTGGCGTATGTCCGTCTTCATTAGCCCAGTTGGAGCAAACTCGTAACAGGTTAAATCTCATTTTACTCCCTTTAATTTCATGTATGCAAACTGGTACATAGAAGAGGTTGATTTATGACATCATGAATCACATCGATATTAACTGAACAAAAACAAGCATATTTGCATTTCATTAAAACAGCGATTGATTATGTTTACTTTTATATTTACTTTTATATTTACGGTCACTTTTATCATGGTCTTCAAGTCAATGAAACACACCACACCGCCTGGTTAGGTTAGGGCGCCGCGATGGAAATGTTTCAGAGACAATAAAACAGAGGTCGGATTCAATTTGAAGATCAATTTATTTTCCTCAACAACCCAGTATTTTAACTAAACAGGCCCGGGATTTCCCCACCAACCCAATATTTTAACTAAACAAGCCCGGGGTTCCCCGCCAACCCAGTATATTTATTAAATAATCACGGGGTATCCCCCACCATCCAGCACTTTAACTAAACAATCCGGTGTTTCCCCCACAAACCCAGCAATAAAAGCACTATCAATAATCGGTATTTGGAACTTGTGGTATATTCTACTGATATCTTTCCGCTACTCTTGGCCTTAAATCTCTCCACCAACTCAGCATCTTGATTAAATAAGAACGGGTTTTCCCCACCAATCTAGTATTTGAATATAATAAGCAATCAACCCAGAAAGAGCTAAATCTCTATTCTGTGGCACCCAGTAATGGACACAAATAGATCGCAACACATAATAATGTATTATGAATATATATAACCTGATTTACATTCAATCGTTTCTATTATACTGTAATTTATAATCAGTTATGTTTGGCAAAATACGCGAAGGGTCTGAATTTAAAAGGTGATAATCTTCTACGTGGGATATATTTAGTCTCCTTCATCGAGTCCCTTAATGCAAATGGAACCCGAAGCATTCTACACGCGATTCAAGTGCCAATGTTAATATTTTCATTTTGACTGAAACATCAATCGTTTCTGTTTGCATTGTCGAAGACTGGATGATATTGAGTTAGTTAGCGACTTGACTCCTTCAATAAGCACGGGGGTTTCGTCATCCATAATTTCATCTAGATAAGCACTGTCAATGATCAGTATTCAGGACTTGTTGCCCTACACCTCGCCTTATATCTGTACGTGGTTACTTTGTTGTGAAGAGCTTGATTAATGGCCACGTTCTTGTCCTTTGACATTGCTACACAGTAATCTGAAATGATTAACATACATTATAAAATGGCCATTGTTTCAGTCTAGTTGGCTAATATGTATTAGGTATGGGCTGGGTAACCCCACACTGTAAAAAATATCCATTTTTAATGTGAGCGAATTCAGTAGTTTAGCACCTTTTTTTGTCAATTGATGACTTTTTTGGAGAAATTGTGTTAATAGTATGAATTATTTCTTCAAATTACGTGTTTTATCTATTTCAGTGGAATATTCAATATTAAACAGGAAATTTCCGTGACATTTAGGGAACAATGTTTTATTCCCTTCTATAATGGACTTAATTCTGTTATTTTACGGAATAAATGGTGGAATGACCAGGAGGTTTCGTGAATATTAGGGATATAATGTTTTATTCCCTTCTGTAATTCTGTTATCGGTACCGATAAGTAATCGTATACATATATAATCATTCCTAATAATTATCATGTTAAAGTACTCATTTCAATATATTAACCATAATATGAAGAATCATATTTTGTACCGTTTGGTATATTAATTGACATGTATATCTAATTTCCATTATTTATAAGATCTATAAAGTTTATTGTTATTCATCATACGGTAATCAGATTGTAAGTATTTTCATAAATGTGTAAAAATATGTTTTAACGCTGCGTGTGTGAAAAGGTAGTACCTGGTAATCAAGCACGCTTGAATCTGGATAGTATAACTGGTTGGCCAGTGTAAGTCGGTTTGTCTCTATGACAGCGTCTACATACCTGCAAATTGATAATACCGCAAACTCACATCTGAAAGCCTCCAACCACCGTCGAGTAGCGGTTTGTGATACCTTGCTCTCGATTCTTATATTAGCGAACAGAGGTTACGTTTAAAGATTTCCTGCGATATCACTTCGGTGGAAGCGGACAGTAAATAAAGTCATTAATGCACACGTATAAAGTCAATGGTTCGTTCAATGAAATTTTTATCACCTTCATGCTCAGGAAACAAAATTTACCAAATGGAATTTATGTTAATTGAAGGAATTTCTGTAAATTAAAGGATAAATAAATACGGATAAAATTTTCATGGTAATTTTTGTTTCCGTAATTATTTTACGTTTTTACATGGATATGTTTGTTACAGTGCAGGGTCTAAACCAACTGTCAAGCGCCTTTTTTAGCATGACACGGATAAATCCCGATTTTCTGTTAACCATTTGAGCTAGAGGCGTGTCCTTGTCAGACATCCCGGCTAGCACCATTGACAAGAGCTAGATTATGACCTTGTCAGACACCCCGCCCATAGCACCATTGACAAGAGCTAGATCTTGTCCTTGTCAGACACACCGCCCAGCACCATTGACAAGAAGAAACCGGAATGGAAAATTTCGAAAAATATTCTCGGCCTACACCGAGATCGAACGTGGTGTTAATATGCTGGCACCATAGTAACCATGCCACACTGTGAAAACAAAATTTTACCTCTTATGGCTTGAACTACGGTTGCATCCAATGACGCCAGACCAGGTTTAGGATCTTTTGATACTGAACCGAAACATAGCTTTTCTTTTGTAAACATGACGCTCAGAAGGTGACGAGTCACGGATTGTCCACTCTTTGTTTTCTCGAATAATTTCTTGACGTGGACGAGATCTGATGGATATATGAACACACCATACCCATGACAGAGTTCAATCATCTGAAACAAAATAATATAGCTATGTATACAAATAGATGTGTGGGCGGTGGGCGGGGAGAGAGAGAGAGAGAGGGGGGGTGTCAAACCTAGGTCATTTCGTGACTAACATATGATTCAGTACTACTTCAATAATTCGCTCGCGATCCTACCCCTTGTCACGTACAGGCGGGGATTCAAAACCACTCGACAACCAAATCAAAGTATGACGTCACATCTTTATAAGTGAATGGGTTCGGGGTTCTAACCCAACCGTAACCTCCAACTGTGTTGTACAGTCCTGGGATTGTTATGATACAGACTTCACTCCAAATGAAACAACAAAACTAACAATGAATCTGAAATAGGCCAGGGGGGGAGGGGACTTTACTCAAACTGAAACAACAAAATAACAATGAAATGAATGAATTATAAATAGACTGCGGGTGTTGCTCGTAGGGGTCTTTAGCAGTGGGAGGAAACCGCAGGACCCGGAAAAAACCCACGAGGTTGGACAGGCGACCATACTCCTTGTATTTGAAACCACGCCAGTTGACTCAATGACAGGTCTTATGATACAACGCGCACATGCTAACCATTCAGTCATCCACCCCCCACCCTTGAATTATAAATAGGCCTGCTTACTTTATATTTCTCTGATGTTCTTTTATTAAATCTACCGGCTCAGGGCAATACGGTGTCTGTAAAAAATATAATAACGACTCGTTCATCAGAATTTACATGTTTTAACGATAGTTTCATATTTTCTGAATAATGGTTTATATTTCCTACACAATAATACTTAGAAATTGTATTATATTTCGCTTGAAAATAAAAGCTACATAATGGAAGTGGGGAGGTCTACTTGGTCGAGGCATATTACTTTCCTTGTTTTGAGGTGCCTCTACCTGTCCCAGCAAACATTCAAAATTTAAACATTTTAGTTTTGAAAACTGACTTAGAGGATTATAGGATTGTAAGGACTGTCTCCAAATGAAACGTGGTTTAACGTCCTACTGTTCTGCTACGATTGGTCTTATGAAGACGGGCATACGCCATACAGTGTAGTATGAGGGGATTTTTGCCTGACAGTCGCTCTACAGCCTACTCTTGTATCGAATTCCAACTGTCAAGGGATCTTTTATGTACACACCAATGTGTACACGGGACCGCTGCGTTTCGTCAAAATCCGACCGGCCATACGTTGTTCTGTTGTCCTGCACTACTGACAAGGAGGAACCACGCCGGAAAGACGCGATGAACTTTCTCGGCCAACACAGGGATCGAACATGGGACCCCAGATTAGCGAGCCAACGTCTTACTAAGGCACCATTGCTCCCTAAATGGTCAACAAGATTTACATCAGTGGAGCAAACCATCAGTATTGCTTTCATTCGAGACAAATCTAGCTTTAGCCAGACCATGGCTTAACAAGCTATCGGACTTGTTTCTTCATGATCGTAATAACACTACAGAATCAATGATTTTACAACTTTATTGCTAAGCTGTAATGGCTTTAAATGTTCCTCGTCCTCAATAATAATAGCTGCTAGGAATATCTGAATGAGCTTTGATCCATTTCGCTCTACACCCTAATTTATACCCCCTATTTCTGTACGTCTTAGATAGCCTTGACGTTAATTTCCATCCCAAATATGGAATAAATCTCTTTATTTCACAGGACTAAAGGAGGAGACATTATATTATTTAGCCTACCAACCATAGGTCAATTAACAGACAGAACTTGATGGGTATCTTGACAATGGTTATGATTTTACCAAAATATCACTGGGTTTTTTTATGTATAACTATCTATTCACGTTCATTAAGTACGTGTGATTTGACTCTATAGACAGAGTAAAGTAACAATTTTTCAAAGAACCAAAATTGTCTTAAGGACCAAAGTGTTACACATGTTCAAGGGCGTTTTTTTAAAATTTGAGTGAAAAATCTGAATTTTGATAAAACACTGTAGGTATATATAAATGTACATACCTGTGTAGGTATTGACAGGTATATCAACATATCGACTATCTTCCAATTTATTGTTGGCTTTATCCAGCTTCGCTTCTAATTCTCTTATCTGCTTCTGAAGAACCCCACAGTGTTCACAGAAAACTGTTTTGGATGTATTTTCTTTTGAATCTGGGGAATAGTTAAAGATACATTAGTTAAGAGTTTAATAAAGAGTTGGCCATTCTTGCTATAATAATTCAAAATTAGATGGTGAAAAAAGAAATATTGAAATCGGGACTTAGCCTCGCTTTCCCAATTTTACATTAAATTTTTAAATGGCGAACCGTTCTAATCTAGTTAAAATCTCGAGTATCCGATGCCATCGAGAGTCGATTATGGTCTTGTTTTGTTAATAAATGTGTAATTAATAATTTAGATAACATTTTAGGCCTAAAGAAAAACCTGCAATAGACAGATTTAGCTCTTGCATAATCTATGTTTAATATGATTATTACAATGACATCATTATTAATGTGACGTCATAATGTATGTTTAGTTTAACAAATGTAGTTTAAACAACTCCAGCATTTATTCTACATTATTGCTATCTCAAAGCTGTCGAAAATTTAATCAAAAAACATACATGGTTCAAATAATGTGTTAGACATTACGTTTATAGAATACAAACATTTCACTCCAATCCGATTAAAATACAGATCTATATTTCGTTTCGTTTTTGATACTTTCGACGGCCTCTACTATTCGAAGATCTGACGGTAGTGGGAGGTCGCTTTAGGGGTTATATGAGTGTCTTTTCACCCTTTACGTCAGACATTGATTAATCAATCAGCGTTGACGTTTCTATAGTGTTCCATTCACAACATGCCAAGAAGTCGCTGTAACAGGCCGGTTCATTGGCTAATTCCTCACATCAAGCAGACCACCTGTTATATAACAACTCTTCCAGATCGTAGTGTTGTGAAGACAAGTAGAACGAAATTTTGAACTATAAAAAACGAAACGAATAGGACCGTGTTTTAATCAGATTTAAAAGTATGTGTCTGGGTCCTTTTACATCAAAGTCGTACAAGGAAGCAATCCCATCTTAATTTTTATAACCCCTACCCTTAATGTGTCATATTATTTGGGTTTAGACTTGTATTTTTGCGACGACCCATCAAGCAAATACATTTATTTGTGAACTTTTCAATACTAAGAACCATTTTCTAAACTTGTCAAGGAAATGAAATGAGTTAGTTCGCCACCGCGGTTAACCAAATAAAATGTTCTGCTCTGACAGGGCTAATGAAAACGGGTTTACGTCATGCAATGTGCTATGAAGGCAATTTTACCCGGACAGCGGCGCTACGGTCTACTCTTATATCGAATTCCAACTGCCATGGAATCTTTTACGTCCTCCAATGACAAGAGAACATTTCTCGGCCAACGCCTGGATCGAACCCGGACCTGCTTGTTAATGCTTCAGCGACTTAAATCACCGAGCCCCCGTGGCCCCGATTTATAAATGACCTGTACAAAATACAAATGAAATGAAATGGGGTTTAACGTCCTACTGTCCCGCTCCGAACTGGGCTAATGAAGACGGGCATTCGCCATACAGTGTGCTATGAGGGAAATATTGCCCGGACAGCGGGGTTACGGCCTACTCTTATATCGAATACCAACTGTCATGGGATCTTGTACGTGCACGCCAATGTGTACACGGGACCTGAGTTTTCCGTACCATCCGAACCACTAGACGGCTGTCCTTGTCAGACCCTCATTCCTGCACCACTGACAACGGGAAACCACATCAGAACATCCTGATGAACTTTCTCGGCCACTGCAGGGATCGAACTCGCGACCTCCAGCGGCTTACCCACTTAGCCACCGCAGCTCCTAAAAGGTTTGTCTAAAGGTACAAACAATACACTGATGGAAAGGTTTAACATCGTTAGTTTCCTCTAACATAGAATATACATTAAATATACATGTACCTAATGGAAGACCTAACTCTGCCTGTACATTGATATCCATGAAGTTTACAATGTTCTTCCAGGTCAAAATATTGCTCAAAGCAAATTTGACATAATGTACATTGATATAAAGTACTTGCAATAGATTCGCTTTATTTAACATTTTGTCCTATGATAGGAGATTCTTCATATTCCATATGTATTTTACAATGTTCTTCTAAATCAGTGTATAAATCAAATTTTCTTTCACACAAGTTGCACTGAAAATAATTCAAGTTATCAATTTCCTCTTCTTTAACATGTTTCTTGTGAAGTTTTTCCACATCAATTTTTTCTTCTTGAACATGTCTTTTGCAGAGTTTTACCGCATTATCAATATCGTCTTTTTTAACATGTCTTTTGCAGAGTTTTACAGCATTATCAATATCGTCTTTTTTAACATGTCTTTTGCAGAGTTTTACAGCATTAGCAATTTGCCCCTTTTTAACATGTCTTTTGCGGTGTTTTACAACATTAGCAATTTGCCCCGTTTTAACATGTCTTTTGCGGAGTTTTACAACATTAGCAATTTGCCCCGTTTTAACATGTCTTTTGCGGTGTTTTACGATACTGTCAATTTTTTCTCCTTCAACATGGATCTTCTTGTTCACGTGTAGTTCATAGTGAAGATCTAGATCACTGTACTCTTTAAAAATCTCATCACAAAAAACACAATGATGGAATGTTTTAACATTATTAGTTTCCTGAAATATACGAAGGTTATAACATCATTAGTTTCCTGTAATATATAATAGCTATAACATCATTAGTTTACTGTAATATATAAAAGTTATAACATCATTAGTTTCCTAGGTCATTTCTTGAGCAGTAGGAGCGAACTGGCTGAATGGTTCATTGAGTCATGATGTGGTTTTGAATCCCTGCTTGTACGTGAAAAGGAGTAAAGTCCCCTATGGGTCATTCCATGTCAAGTGCTAAACCCTATTTCTCTCTCTTCAGGGATCATGTGGCTAAGTGGGTAAGACGCTGGCTCTCTAGCCTGGAGGTCGGGTGTTCGATCCCTGCATTGGCCGAGAAAGTTCATCCATATTTTCCAGCGTGGTTTCCCCATGTCAGTGATGCAGGACGGAGGGCCTGACAAGGACAGCTGTCTAGTCGTTCGGATGGGACTAAAAACCGAGGTCCCGTGTACACATTGGCATGCACATAAAAGATCCCTTGGCAGTTGGAATTCGATACAAGAGTAGGCTGTAGGGCAAAATTTCCCCTCATAGTACACTGTATGGCGTATGCCCGTCTTCATTAGCCCAGTTTAGGAGCAGAACAGTAGGACGTTAAACCCCATTTCATTTCATTTCTCTCTCTTCGATTCTTCTACAACCTTTGTCAGTAGGATGCACTATTCCTGTATAAAAATGGAAACAAGACTTTAGAGAGAGAGGGAAACTGGGTTTAATGCCCACTCGACAAAAACATATGGTTTAATTTTATTTCAATAATTCGATTCCCCGTAGGGGTCTTTAGCAGTGGGAGGAAACTGGAGGACCCGGAGAAAACCCACGAGGTTGGACAGGAGACCCTGCTCCTTGTCACGTACAACTGGCCTTTCGAAACCACGCCAGTTGACTCAATGACAGGCATTATCAGATACAGCGCCCACGTGCTTACCAGGGGCGTAAAAAAATTTTTGAATCCACTAGATGGGCTACTAGTCTACTGTCAGACACTAGCCCGGCATTAATTTCCACTAGTCCGTAGTTCGACAAGGTACGAGCTTTGATCTTCAATATTTGGGCGCCTGTTTTGTTTTGTTACCTGCCAACCTATGTTTTTGAATAAAGATCGTAGACTTCATTGCCTAACAATTAAGGATGTAAACGGCTACTCAGTTTTTTTGTAATATATCACGGGAAATTGATGTCTATAAATTCCCACTTGAAGTTTTGTTGTATACGGAATACGGTGCGTTATGTTATTGTAAGTACTCACTGCAAAGCATGAGACAGTCTCGACTGATTAACAAGTTAATTGTTTTACAGTATTTATTAACTTGGTCACTCTATAAACAGTCTCAAAAGGAAATCAGTTTGATGTGCTGATATAATATTAAAATAGACAGGATAGTAAAACTGTTTACATTATCACTCGAGCACTATGCTGTGTGTCGATAGGGTCAAAGTTGACGACACATGAGTTACTGGTACCATTGAGCATGCCATGTGCAACGAACACGTGTAGTAAATTCTTTGGAAATACCGGACATGTTAAATAATCAAAATTATTTTGTATTTGAAAATCCAATGGCATGCTTTCAAATATTTATGTCAAAACCAATCTTATAAAATATTATGTAGGCTTTTTTTTAAAAAAATCAACCTGATTTCAACTGGTGAATACGTGACTTGTCAAAGAGTGCAAGGTGGAGAAAAATGTCAAGAATGAATGAATCGACGAGGTACTAAAAATGTCCATACTGCCCTAAGTTTTATACAGAAAATCTATTGTTATAATAGAGTTTTGTGTGGAATTGGAGAAATAAATGTAGGATGTTTTTACAGTTTATTTATCTATATCTCTAGATTAATTTACAAACCAGTAAAAGGGCACTAGCCCAGGATTAGTACGGTTAAATAGATCACTAGCCTGTAAGTTAATTTTGGTAGGCCCGGGCGTCGGGATTTAGATTGTTACAAGCCTGCTTCAACTGGGCTTATGAAGACGGGCATAAGCCATACAATCTTCTATAAGGGAAGGATTGTCTGAAAAAATACTGATGAAATAAAATGGGGTTTAACTATCTACTTTTCTGCTTCGACTGGGCTAACGATGATGGGCATATGTCATACAGTGTGCCATGAGGGCAATTTTGCCCGGACAGCAGCGCAAAAGCCTACTCTTATATCAAATTCCAACTGCCAAGGGATCTTTTATGTGTGCACCAATGTGTACACAGGACCTCAGTCTTTTGTCCCCATCCTGCACCACTCACAAGGCGAAACCACGTCGGAAACAGCTGATGAAATTTCTCAGCCAAAAAAAAAAAATATACAACAAAAAAAAAACATGAACTGCTTTTCTTTTTTTGTAGATAAGCTTACATGTAGATATCAAACATACCAGTTGATCTCTTGAAGCAAGAGGGGGTTGATCTGGTGATCCCGGAAGGGGTTCATCTCGTGATCCAGGAAAGGGTTCATCTATTGATCCCGGAAGGGGTTCATCTCGTGATCCAGGAAAGTGTTCATCTTGTGATCCAGGAAGAGGTTGATCTTGTGACCCAGGAAGAGGTTCATTTGTTGAATCAGGAAGGGGTTCATTTGTTGAATCAGGAAGGGGCTTATCTGCAATGCTATCACGCCATTTACGCCAATGTTGTTGTAAATTTTTAATCAATTTGCTCCTTTTTCTTCTAGGCATTATGATAGTCTTTCCTGATCCAACTTGTTCAGTTTGTTTTATCTAAAATAGAGAAAAAAATATTTCTAAATGTTTGAAATGAAATCAAGATTAATGTCCTACTGTTCTGTTCCGACTGGGCTAATTAAAATGGGCATATGTCATACGGTGTGCTATGCAGGAAATTATGTCCGGACAGCGGCCTACTCTGATTTGGAATCAGACTGACAAGTGTCCCATTCTGCACCAGTGACTAGGGGGAACCCTGTGGAAAATCCATGTTAACTGTCTTGGCCAGTGCAAATCGACTGACCTGTCCAATATCTGCTACTGCACCACACAACAACTGTACATGTCAGATCGAGTGAATGGATCCAGGAGGTCGACCGTAAAAGTCCAGAGAAATGAAATGAAATGGGGTTTAACGTCCTACTGTTTTGCTCCTATGCTGGGCTAATGAAGACGGGCATACACTATGCAGTGTGCTATGAGGGAAATTTTGCCCGGGCAGCGGCACTATCGCCTACTTTTATATCGAATTCCAACTGCCAAGGGATCTTTTACGTGCATTCCAATGTATACACAGGACCTCGGTTTTTCGTCCCATCCGCATGACTAGACAGCCGTCCTTGTCAGGCCCTCCGTCCTGCATCACTGACAAGGGGGAACTTTCTCGGCCAATGCAGGGATTGAACACCCGACCTCCAGGCTAACGAGACAGCGTCTTACCCACGTGATCCCCGAAAGTCCAGAGAGGAGAGAGAGACACAGAGAGAGAGAATTGGGGTTTAACTTCTACTCGACACAAACTAGGTCATTTCGGGACTAACATATGGTTTAATTTTATGTCAATAATTGGCTTGCGCGTAGGGGTATTTAGCAGTGGGAGGAAATAGGAGAACACGGAGAAAACCCACGAGGTTGGCGGGCGACCCTACTCCTTGTCACGTACAACTGGGGACTCGAAACCACGCCAGCTGACTCAATGACAGACCTTATGATACAGCACGCGCACGCTAACCATTCAGCGATCCAACCCCCTAGGCAACCCACAGCAGCTAAATCATCCGGGCAGTCAACAAGTGTTGTCGCATATTTTTACATTTTTTAGTAATGAAACAATTATAATACACTAATAACCAATTAAGAGTAACAACAACTCATCAATTCATGTAATTATCAGAAAATCATTAGAATTTGATTTGTTTGTGTAAAGTTCTGCCCCATGCTAACGTTTAGTATACGAAACATTTAGCTGTTCAAGTTATCAAAATTCATTGAAAATCAATATACTTGTTCATCTCAAGACCTTAAACTGAAGCCAATCCGATGATAACTTTAGCCTCTAGATGTCACAAGATTTTTCAAAGTGATCAAGGGTCATAACTTTGGCAGTAATTATCAGAAATGTTGAAAATCAATATGATTCTTCGTCGCATGACCTCGAACACTGAGTGTAAATTTGAAGTCAATCGGATATCATCTTTAGCTTCTAGAGCATCCACAAGATATTTTGAAGTGATCAAAGGCCATAACTCTGGCAGTAATTATCAGAAATTGCTGAAAATCAATAGGCTTCTTCGTCTCATGACCTTAAACACTGTGTATAAATTTAATGTCAATCGGATATTCACTTTGGCCTCTAGAGTGTCCACAAACAATTGTGGACGCCGGACCAACGAATTGACGAATGGGGGTGACACAATTGAATATATGACTACATTTCAATGTAGGCATATAAAAAACAAACTAAAAATAAGGGGGAATATTTCCCAAAAGTTATATAAAGCCAGTACGAGTCATGATCGACTATATGCTACAAGAAATATGTAGGCACATTGAAGGTAACGGCTCTTTATAAATCCTATTTCGTTTCATGTTTTTTAATAGTACAAAATTTTGTTTTCTTTTCTTTACTACACTGGAAGAGTTGTTATGTAACAGGCGTTCTAGTTGATGTGAGAAATTAGCTAATGAAACGGTCTGTTACGGCGAGTTCTTGGCGTGATCTTCACGGAACTGTGGGTAAACCCCTAGAAACGTTAAAGCTGATTGATTAATCAATATCTTTCATAGGGTCAAAAGCCGCCCGTATGACACCTGACATGACCTCCCAGTACAACTGGTCAGATTTTCATGTAGTGTAAGCCGATTCCTCTGCCCCCTCCCCAAAAAACCCATACGCGCATGTGAATTATTGAAAGATAATTGAACCATGTGTAAGTCTCGAAATGACCATTTATGTGAAATTTACAAAGAGACAAGTTAAATCTAAAAGGCGTATGTAGTAGTCATTTTTGGTGTATTTAAGGAAATTCATTATTAATATTAATGCAAAATATATGTAAGCAGGAAGGGCTTGTGGGCGAATTCTCATATTTTGAAAGTGAGAGAGAGAGAGAGAGAGAGAGAGAGAGAGAGAATGGGGTTTAAACGTCCACTCGACACAAACTAGGTCATTTCGGGCCTAACACATGATTCAATTTTATTTCCATAATTCGCTTGCGCGTAGGGGTCTTTAGCAGTGGGAGGAAACCGGAGGACCCGGACAAAACCCATGAGGTTGGACAGGCGACCCTACTCCTTGTCACGTACAACCGGGGATTCGAAACCACGCCAGATGACTCAATGACAGACTTAATGATACAGAAAGTGAGAGAGAGAGAGAGAGAGAGAGAGAGAGAGAAATGGGGTTTAACCTCAACTCGACACAAACTAGGTCATTTCGGGACTAACACATGGTTCAATTTTATTTCAATAATTCACTTGCACGTAGGGGTCTTTAGCAGTGGGAGGAAACCGGAGGACCCGGAGAAAACCCACGAATACGGTGCGTTATGTTATTGTAAGTACTCACTGCAAAGCATGAGACAGTCTCGACTGATTAACAAGTTAATTGTTTTACAGTATTTATTAACTTGGTCACTCTATAAACAGTCTCAAAAGGAAATCAGTTTGATGTGCTGATATAATATTAAAATAGACAGGATAGTAAAACTGTTTACATTATCACTCGAGCACTATGCTGTGTGTCGATAGGGTCAAAGTTGACGACACATGAGTTACTGGTACCATTGAGCATGCCATGTGCAATGAACACGTGTAGTAAATTCTTTGGAAATACCGGACATGTTAAATAATCAAAATTATTTTGTATTTGAAAATCCAATGGCATGCTTTCAAATATTTATGTCAAAACCAATCTTATAAAATATTATGTAGGCTTTTTTTTTAAAAAATCAACCTGATTTCAACTGGTGAATACGTGACTTGTCAAAGAGTGCAAGGTGGAGAAAAATGTCAAGAATGAATGAATCGACGAGGTACTAAAAATGTCCATACTGCCCTAAGTTTTATACAGAAAATCTATTGTTATAATAGAGTTTTGTGTGGAATTGGAGAAATAAATGTAGGATGTTTTTACAGTTTATTTATCTATATCTCTAGATTAATTTACAAACCAGTAAAAGGGCACTAGCCCAGGATTAGTACGGTTAAATAGATCACTAGCCTGTAAGTTAATTTTGGTAGGCCCGGGCGTCGGGATTTAGATTGTTACAAGCCTGCTTCAACTGGGCTTATGAAGACGGGCATAAGCCATACAATCTTCTATAAGGGAAGGATTGTCTGAAAAAATACTGATGAAATAAAATGGGGTTTAACTATCTACTTTTCTGCTTCGACTGGGCTAACGATGATGGGCATATGTCATACAGTGTGCCATGAGGGCAATTTTGCCCGGACAGCAGCGCAAAAGCCTACTCTTATATCAAATTCCAACTGCCAAGGGATCTTTTATGTGTGCACCAATGTGTACACAGGACCTCAGTCTTTTGTCCCCATCCTGCACCACTCACAAGGCGAAACCACGTCGGAAACAGCTGATGAAATTTCTCAGCCAAAAAAAAAAAATATACAACAAAAAAAAAAACGTGAACTGCTTTTCTTTTTTTGTAGATAAGCTTACATGTAGATATCAAACATACCAGTTGATCTCTTGAAGCAGGACGGGGTTGATCCCGGAAGGGGTTCATCTTGTGATCCAGGAAAGGGTTCATCTATTGATCACAGAAGGGGTTCATCTCGTGATCCAGGAAAGCGTTCATCTTGTGATCCAGGAAGAGGTTGATCTTGTGATCCAGGAAGGGGTTCATTTGTTGAATCAGGAAGGGGTTCATTTGTTGAATCAGGAAGGGGCTTATCTGCAATGCTATCACGCCATTTACGCCAATGCTGTTGTAAATTTTTAATCCATTTGCTCCTTTTTCTTCTAGGCATTGTGATAGTCTTTCCTGATCCAACTTGTTCAGTTTGTTTTATCTGAAATAGAGAAAAAAATATTTCTAAATGTTTGAAATGAAATCAAGATTAATGTCCTACTGTTCTGTTCCGACTGGGCTAATTAAAATGGGCATATGTCATACGGTGTGCTATGAGGGAAATTTTGCCCGGGCAGCGGCACTATCGCCTACTTCCAACTGCCAAGGGATCTTTTACGTGCATTCCAATGTATACACGAGACCTCAGTTTTTCGTCCCATCCACATGACTAGACAGCTGTCCTTGTCAGGCCCTCCGTCCTGCATCACTGAGAAGGGGGAACCACGCTGGAAAATCTGGATGAACTTTCTCGGCCAATGCAGGGATCGAACACCCGACCTCCAGGCCAATGAGCTAGAGTCTTACCCACTTAGCCACGTGATCCCTGAAAGTCCAGAGAGAGAGAGAGGAGAGAGAGACAGAGAGAGAAATGGGGTTTAACATCCACTCGACACAAACTAGGTCATTTCGGGACTAACATATGGTTTAATTTTATAACATTAATTCGCTTGCGGTCTTTAGCGGTGTGAGAAAACCAGAGGACCCGGAGAAAACCCACATGGTTGGACAGGCGACCCTACTCCTTGTCACGTACAACCAGGGATTCGAAACCACGCCAGTTGACTCAATGAGACTTAATGATACAGCGCGCACGTGCTAACCACTAAGCCATCCAACCCCCCTGAAAGTGAGAGAGAGAGAGAGAGAAATGGGGTTTAACCTCAACTCGAATCAAACTAGGTCATTTCGGGACTAACACATGGTTCAATTTTATTTCAATAATTCACTTGCGCGTAGGGGTCTTTAGCAGTGGGAGGAAACCGGAGGACCCGGAGAAAACCCACGAGGTAGGCCAGGCGACCCTACCCCTTGTCACGTACAACCGGGGAATCGAAATCCCACCAGTTGACTCAATGACAGACTGTATGATACAGCGCAGCGCGCACGTGCTAACCATTCGGCCATCCAACCCCCCCATTTTTTTATTAAAGTGAATTCCGGTGTTTATATGTTTTTAAAAGTGAATTCCGGTGATCATCGGTGTTTTTCAATTATTTATTATTAATATTAATGCAAAATATATGTAAAGAGGTAGGCCTTGGGGTCAAATTTTGATATTTGCAAAGTGAATTCCGGTGAATTCCAGTGATTTAGTATCCGCTCAAAATCTAAACAAAACAACTCGATGCAGCCAAATGTTGACAACTTGTTTGCTTCTTTCAGCTGACAGCAAAATTCACAATTTTCAGTTACCTGCACTGCTAACACGTTAAACTTACATATCATATCCATTTTTTTTTCTCAAAATATTTTTTTACTGTTGATTTTTTAACGAGATTTCCAAAAAATCTACTGCAAACCGATAACTGGATCTTGACCGATCTGTAGAATATCTGTCAGTGTTTATACCCACAAATCTAACCCTAACCCTTCAGAATAGTTTTAGCCACAATCCACCGTTGTTACAGCTTCAATTTGTACGTTTGACATGTAATTTATAAACCTAACCCTAACCCTCGAGAAGATATTCTCCAGATGACACAATGATCTAGTAGGAGAACGCTAGATCGAGGACGGTCCTACGCATTTCTTTACCTTGGTGTAAGCGGCCCGTGCATTCAGAGTTCTTTTGTTTGACCGAGTGTTTGATTTTCCCTGCGAAATTCAATCAGATCAGATGACCAGTAATCTTAAAATGTCGGACTCGGGGCCTAAAATGCCACTGAAAAGAAATAGGTACGGTATATGCTGTTATCGCTGAATAATCCAATTTCCTTGCTCAATTAATCGACCATAGTAACGTCTCACACGTCAGATTATCTCAACGCTTCAGATTTATTATATGTTCTCGCAGCTAACGTCAACGAACTTCCAAGTTCTACCACTAGGCCTACCACCAGTGGTGCAGGGCCTGTTAATATATTAGCCTATAGGATAGGTTATTGCCGGCTTTTAATAACCGATTTTTTATTCATTGTCGACAAAATGGCGAAAATTTAACCGGTCCTTGGTTCATGGTGTATTGGTAGCCTGCATTATGACTTTTATATTAATCACACTGTCACTATCATATTAAATTTATGGAAATTGTCACCATTGGAAAGGGTGTGGAATATGCATTACTGTGGTGTTTAAATTTTGGTTCTACTCCAAATAGCAAAAAAGTTACATCATTTTGAAAATTGGAAAACCGAGTCAATAGCCTATTGACCCTTGAGTTACCTTCCCATTTATTTCTATGCTTATGTACTGAACTATAGGCCTACCAGTACATGATGTAAACATAGGAAAAATAAACATCAAATACAAAGACTTATTTATTTTACAGGCACACAGGAAATATATTGAGTCATTCCATGCCAGTAAGTTCCAGGTAATTACAACCAATACAGACCTGCAATTGTAGTTCAAACTATAGGCCTAGTAGTTATGATGATTTATCATGATTTTCAAGTTCGGCTGGGTGACCGAATGGTTGAGGATCAGAAATGAAATGGGGGTTTAACGTCCTACTGATGAAGTCCGGCATATGCTACAGTGTGCTATGGGGGAAATTTTTCCTAGGCAGCAGCACTATGGCCTACTCTTGCGTTGAATTAGACTGTCTGTCATTGAGTCCATTTGTGTGATTGCAATAAAAACCTATGCGCAAGCGAATTATTGAAATAAAATTGAACCATGTAAGTCCTAGTGGCTAGTTAGACCTCTTTTAAATTGAAATAATTTATTTGACATTATTTTTAAGTCCAAAGGTTTACCATGCAAAATGTTTGTTGGTAACAGTTGATTTTAATTTGCATGCAAATCGTGAACCACTAAAAGGAGCCGACAGAAACATTAGGTTAGTTTTCCCCTTACTGATGTAATAACATTCTCCTCCGATCTAGTATTATTCCCTTGGCGAACTCTAGCAAATTCAAATTTGAAACACAGAATTTCACACGAAACGAAATTTATCTATTTTTCAGTTATATTCAATAGTAAGTCATTGTAGTTATCTTATGTTGGCCTACCATGCCCAAAAATATTCACATTTGGTTAAATGTGCCGGAAGGACATAGTGCCGAAAACACTGCAACATTAATTATATAAAATTATATTTCGTTTCGAGTAAAATTTATAGGAAGATAGGCACAAAGGGTTAAATCTAATTGATAAGGCCAACTTCAAGTTTGGCCAAAGGTCACGAGATGTAAACAGGGTTAACACTATAATCCCAACCCTAACCCGAACCCTGGACATAGCCCTAATACTTAGTCTAACCCTAACCTACAATCTCGTCAACAATCACGCGCTCTACTTATTACATCCCAGCGACATCGACGAGAATTGAGTTGACCTTAAGAATAAGATCTAGCCGTGGCAAATCTAGTTTCATTTTGTTAGCACAGTTTTATTTATTTGGTCACAAACCACTAAAGTTTTCCCCATTGACAATGTTAATTCTCGTATCTTAGACAGATGGAGCAACATGTGGAAACCCCTTGATTTACTTCATTCTCAGCCAAGTTATCATTGTTTGTAGTTTTGACAAGATGTATGCACAGTGTTAACCAGGGCACTGATAGTGATATAGCCTGATCGGGATTTTTAAATTAAATTTTTAAATGGGGAACCGTTTTAATCTAGTTAAAATCTCGAGTATCCAATGCCATCGAGAGTCGATTAATGGTCTTGTTTTGTTAATAAATGTCTATTCAATAGTTTATATAATATATAACATTTCACTCCTATGACATCATTATTAATGTGACGTAATAATGTATGTTTAGTTTAACAAAATGTTCTGTTTAAACAATGCGAACATTTATTCTACATTATTGCTATCTCAAAGCTGTCGAAAATTTAATCAAAAAACATACATGGTTCGAATGTGTTAGACATTACGTTTATAGAATACAAACATCTCACTCCAATCCGATTAAAATACAGATCTATATTTCGTTTCGTGTTTTATACTTTCGACGGCCTCTACTATTCGAAGATCTGACTGTAGTGCGAGGTCGTTTCAAGGGTCACACGAGCGTCTTTTCACCCTATGACGTCAGACATTGATTAATCGAGCAGCGTTGCGGTTTCTAGTGCTTTACCCACAGTTCCATGCACGGAACGCCGTAACAGGCCGGTTCATTGGTTAATTCCACAAATGAAGCAGAGCGCCTGTTATATAACAACTCTTCCAGATCATAGTGTTATGAAGACAAGTAAAACGAAATTTTTAACTATAAAAAACGAAACGAATAGGACCTTGTTATAATCAGATTTAAAATTACGTGTCTGGGTCGTTTTACAACAAAGTCGTCCATGGAAGCAATCCCATCTTAATGTTTATAAGCCATGCCCTTAATATATCATATTATTTGGGTTTGGACTTGTGTTTTTGCGACGACCCATCAAATATTGACGTATACATTTATTCATGAACTTTTCAATTCTAAGAATCATTTTCCAAACTTATCAAGGAAATGAAATGAGTTTGTTTGCCACCGCGGTTAACCAAATAAAAATGTTCTGCTCTGACAGAGCTAATGAAAACGGGCATACGTCATGCAATGTGGTATGAAGCAATTTTGCCCGGACAGCGGCGCTACGGTCTACTTTAATATCTAATTGCAACTGCCATGGGATCTTTTACGTCCTGCAATGACAAGGGAAAACCACATCGGAAAATCTCGACGAACGTTCTCGACCAACACCGGGAGCGAGTCTTCTTTGTCACACTATCCGTGCTACACCACTTATAAATCCTATATGGACATTTCTCACCCAACACCGGGAGCGAGTCTTCTTTGTCACACTATCCATGCTACACCACTTATAAATCCTATATGGACATTTCTCGGTCAACACCGGGATCGAACCCGGACCTGCTGGTTAATGAGTCAGCGACTTAATCACCGAGCCCCCGTGGCCCCGGTTTATAAATGACCTGTACAAAATATAAATGAAATGAAATGAAATGGGGTTTAACGTCCTACTGTTCTGCTCTGAACTGGGCTAATGAAGACTGGCATGCGCCATACAGTGTGCTATGAGGGAAATTTTGCCCGGACAGCGGCAATACGGCCTACTCTTATATTAATTCCAACTGTCAAGGGATCTTTTACGTGAACGCCAATGTGTACACGGGACCTCGGTTTTTCGTCCAATCCGAACGACTAGACTGCTGTCCTGCATCACTGACAAGGGGAAACCACGCCGGAAAATCTGGATGAACTTTCTCGGCCAATGCAGGGATCGAACACCCGACCTCCAGACTAGCGAGCCAGCGGTTTTTTTTTGTAAATATGTTTATTCAATAAATATATAATCATACATTTTAATCATGGAACAGCACAAAATATTCTTAATCAATTAAAAGCATTATTTTTTTTTTTTATTTTATTTTTTTTTTTTTTTAAAAAAACAAGAAAAATGAAAAGAAAAGAAATACATTCCTGAATCAAAATACAAAACCATTGACACATTAACACATTGATGAAATAATACATCAATAAATCAATGGATCCATACATTAATTCATAAATATATTTAAATTAGGTTAATTACAATATGTATTAAAAGAAGGTGCCATTCAATTTGAAACTTCAATCAAGATATAATTACACAAAGTTACATAGTATGTACATATAATGTTAAAGATGTTTTGGCTATTTTGATATTCAGTAATGGTAATCTAAGTCAATACGAATAGTATAATTTATAGTTTAAAATTAAATATTAATTACTTCATCGTTTTCTAATCATTTATATTAATTAGTGTATTTAAGGTGTCACGACAATTACAAATCTTAGCTTATATTTACGAGCTGATAAGATTTTACACAGTATCTAGCAGACGAGATTTCTGCCGCCTGCGCGGCGCGTCCCAATTACTGACCTACTATACACACTCAATCTGTGTCAGCTATACAAGACTCTACTTTCCAGTTCTTTTTTAACACCATACATCATATAAGTCCAGTTCTTCCAGTGCTCTTAAAATTTAACATTGAAAAGGGGCTATTGTAAACCTGTTAAGGCAGCGTCTTATCCACTTAGCCACAGCGAGCCCCTGTAGAAAATATAATTTCGATGATTTCCATTTTTAAATACTAACTACAGGCAGGCTCCTCTCGTTTAGGTCCCTCTTCCGATTCGTCCGATTCAAGTGGAATCTCATCACGTGTAGTGCCATATGTTCAAATTCCGGAAAGGTGGACACTTAATCGTTATCAGCCAGGATTGCTAAAAAATCAGAGGAACATTGGATCATAAATTGTATTTTGTGTAGAAAGTTACTTCAATGATTTAAAATTAAAAACTACTCCATATTTTTTTATATGTGAAATTTAGATGATTAAGACCATACCTCCATTTAATTCAGGTGCCACTGCTGTTTCTTTGAGCAGTCGGTTTAATTATGTTACGCTACCTAAACTAGATAATCCAGATTCATTGCCAGTGTGCTATGAGCGACATTTAGACCGGACAGTGGCTCTACAGCCTATACTCTTATGGGATCGTTAACGTGCACGCCACATACATGGGACCTCGGTTTTTCGTCCCACCCGAGCCAGTATACGTTGTCCCTTGTCAGGTCTGCAGTCCTGCACCACTGACAAGGAGGAACTACATTGGGGTACTTTCTCTGTCAACACAGAGATAGAACACGGGACCACTAGGTCAGTGAGTCAACGTCTTACCCACTCAGCCACCGTGGCTCGCTGGTGGAAGACAAATATCTAATTGTAATATCAGTTATAAGTTGGTTCAATTTTGCTCAGTATTTATAAAGATATATACAATATAGAAACCCCATCGATCTATGTTAATCGCTATGAAGTACGCCTGCGGCCATTTTGTTGTCGCGACAATTTAATGACAAACCCGTTTTAAATCCGACTGAATCCAGTCAGGGAGATTATCCAGCGTTTGTATTATGATTTTGTTTTCTTAATTATGTGTCAAATAACGAATCTGGGTATATATCAACGTGGCTTAAACAGACATTATACAAGAGCTAAATCGGATTATTGCATGTCTTTCTTTAGGCCTGAAATGTTATATAAATTATTAATTAGACATTAATTAACTTATCCAGATCATAATCAACTCTCGATATCATCGCTATCTTGTGACCTCTAACCGACTTAGCTACTTTACCAATTAGACCCACCAGGTACTGTAGCTAGCTTACGGCTGTAAATCTTCTTGTGACCTCTAACCTTAGCTTTATCTCCTGTTCTGTAAGGTGTAGGCCTATCCACCTTCGTAGACTCGCCGATATCTTTCACAGATACTAATGAGTAGCTACCGTCGTTCTCCCACTCAACTTATCCATACACCTTGAAGAATTTTAATACTTTAAATCTCTCTGTAATAATGTTCTAAACGATTTGGACACGAAAACAGTTTTTCACTATAAACTGCTGCTTAACACCGGATTCTACAGTTGTGTGTGTGTGGGTGTGTGTGTGTGTGTGTCGTTGTTAACGTCCGCTTACACCTAGTGCGATGATGTCGCACAACTGCCTCGTTTGTTCGTTCCTGGAGTTTTACGTCTACTTCCACATCGTATACAAGATCAACTTCTATCATCTCATCTGATATCGCATACAAGATCAACTTCTATCATCTGATCTGATATCTCATACAAGATCAACTTGTAGCATCTGATCTGATATCGTATACAAGATCAACTTGTAGCATCTGATCTGATATCGTATACAAGATCAACTTGTAGCATCTGATCTGATATCGTATACAAGATCAACTTCTCGCATCTGATCTCTGTTAGATCTGATTTTATAGATGATATGTTTTGGTTGACAATATTTAATACCAAACCCGTTTTTGTTTCTAATAGATTGGAATCCAACTCAATCAGCGGTCTACCATTGAACATGAAAC